CCATCACCTGGACCCTGCAGATGGCGCACGTATCGCACTCCACGTCCCAGCTCCACATGGCCACCGCGTTCCACTTCTTCAGCGAGAACATTTTGTCGCCTCCCGACTTGGAGCCTGCGCTCCCCGAGTGAGAGGACAAGGTGCAGGGCTCTTCGCTGTCTTCCACTTTGGCCATGGCGGCGGCGCGGAGCCGGCGGCGAAGACCTCCTCTTTAATCTTTTTCATAGTGCTGTAGTTTTTCCAATGAAGAGAACTTTTACTTTTCTCCATTTGATTAATTCCTAAGTACTTCATTTTTTTTCAATGCTTTTGTAACAGGTGTGCTTTCCCCAATTTGTCTCTCAGTAAGTTTGTTATTTGTATACAGGAATGATATTGATTATTTGTATCCAACTATGCTACTGAATCTGGTTATTACATCTAGAAGTCTTTTGGTGGAATTCTTGTGGTGTTCTTTGTAGAGTATTATGTAATCTGCAAGTAATAATAATTTAACTTCTTTCTTTCCTGTCTTTATTCCTTTTATTTGTTTCTCTTGTCTAACTGCTCTAGCTAATCTTTACAGAATGATATCGAATAGGAATGGTGACAGTGGGCATCTTTGTCTTATTTCTTATTTATTTATTTATTTATTTATTTAATCAGAACTGGGGATTGAACTCAGGCCCTTGCACTTGCTGGGGAAGCTCTTATTCCACTGAGCCATCTCCCCAACCCCTTATTCCTTATTTTAGAGAGAAAGCTTTCAGTTTTTTTATTTTGAATTAGATTCTTTATTAACTGACCAAATCATAAACACACCATGGTAGATACCTTAGTTCATCCTTCTAATAAGCCTGTTGATCTGGTCTTCCCTATTTCCAGTATCTCCACCTTTCACAAAATGCGTGGTCTTTTTCTTCATTCCACGTCATGGAGATGATAACTTGAACAGCCACAGGAAGTTATTTGCCTCTTTAAAGCATTTTCTAACAGTATAGATTTCATGAATCAGATCCTCCATGAAGATGATGCCATATTTACCAAGAGATCAAACAATCAATGAATTATCTGTCTGGAAAATTCGCTTGTTTATTTTGCTATAGTCACACTTGTATATTAGTTCATTCACTGACTTCAGGTTTGGGTACTCCCATTCAATATATGGCTCTGCAATTCTCAGCATGTTGTTGAGCTTAATGAAGGTACCATTGAAGATTTGGCAAAGGTGAAGAAGCTACAACATTTTGCAGACATTTGGGCTCACACCATTGATACCCCTGATCGGGATGACAAATGCCAGTTTGGGCTTTGCAGTGACATAGAAGTTGCCAGCTTTTCTCACCATCCTAGCCATTCAGATCTCAGTTCTGTACATCTGTCTGTACTCCTTATGATAGTGCCTGGCCTTTTCATAGGTAAGCTTCCTCCTGGCCTTGTGAAGCGTCTTCTGGGCAAACTTCTTTCTCAGGCACTTTATCTTCAACTCTGTGAGATGTCTTCACTTTTTCTTAAGGATTTCTGGCACAGCTGGAACCTTCTTCTTTTTTTTTCCTTCTACACCCTCCATGGTTCTAGCCAGAAAAAAGGAAGTCTAAGAAGTCTTTTAGTTTTTGACCACTTATTATAATGTTGGCTGTTGGTTTGTCATAGATGGCTTTTTAGATTGAGATAAAGACCGTGTATTCTAATTTTCTATACTATTTTTTTAAAATCATGAATTGATGTTGGACTTTGTCAAATTCTTCTCCTGTGTCTATTTATATGATCAGGTGGCTTTTGTCCTTTGTCTGTTAATATGACACATTATATTTATTCATTTGCATATATGGAACCATCCTTGAATCCCTGGGATGGATCCTACTTGGTTGTGGTATATAATCTTCTTCATGATTTGCTGTATTCTGTTTTCTAGTATCTGGTTGAGAATTTTTGCATCTACGTTCATTAGGGAAATTGGCCTGCAATTCTTTTTTGGTTTCTATCTCTGGTATTGGTATCAGGGTAGTACTTGCTTCTAGGAATGATTTTGGGAGTATTGTTTTTCTTTCAATTTAATTAATTAGTCTTACAAATAATGACTTTAGATCGCTAAATTTCTTGTAGAATTCAGCAGTGAATCAATCACAATCTAGGGTTTTCTTTGTTGGTAAGTTTTTTTTTAATGTATCTGGTACAGGGTCGTACAATGCAACTCAGACTCATAGTGATCCTCCTGTTTTCAGCCTCCCCAGCACTGGGATTATGGACATGCACCACCACATGCAGTCTTAGTGGCTGGCTCAGATTGCCTGGGGGTGGGACTGGCATGGCATGTGGTCCCGGGATTGAACTCGTGTCCCTGAGCTTGTCTCTGCAGGTGTTTAATCCATTGAGCTATCTTGCTGGCCCTTGTTGGTAAGTTTTTAATTACATTTTCAATTTCATTGACTGATGTTGGGTTATTTAGAATTTTTACATCTTCTTGATTCAATTTTGGTAATTTATATGTATCCAGGAATCTGTTCATTTCTTGTGTGTTTTCTATCTGATTAGAATGAAGCTTCTCAAAGTAGGTACTGATGATCTTCTGGATTTTTGTAGAATCCATTGTGATTTCGCTGTTTTCATTCCTATTTATGAATTTGAGTCTTTTATTTCATCTTTTGATAAGGTTGGCTAAGGGTTTGTCAATTTTATTTATCTTTCAAAAAGCCAACTCAATTCATTTATTTTTTATATTGTTGTCTTAATCTCAATTGTATTTCTGCTGTGATCTTCATAATTTGTTCCCTTGTATGAGTTTTGTAGTTATTCTTGCTCTTCTTTTTCTAGAAGTTTGAGGTTCAATATTAGGTTGTTTATTTGACCTCATTCTATTTTCATAATGTGTGAACTCACTGCTGTTAATTTTCCTCTTAAGACTGCTTTAATTTCTTTCCATATGTTCTGGTATGTTGTACTGGCATTATCATTTAATTGTAGATACTCTGACTTCATCTGTGACTCATTGTTTGTTCAGTAGGGTATT